CCTTCCTTTGCCTGCTCTTTACCTCCTGTTCTCCCTTGGGTCTTTTAGATGTTGTCCTAGCACCCAGCTGTGCTGATTAGCTGGATTTTTTTCTGTCTTATTTTATAGGTTGTTGGTATATGTTGTGGGTATGTTTTACATTTTGTCCATCTGCTGCATGGAAACGTCATTTTAACACTGATTTTAGGTAATCTTCAACTTGTAGGTCCTAATGCAAGTGAGATCCTTTCATCTGCATATGTAGGTGTGGGCCAGATTAGATCCAAGGGGAAAATTTTGCTGAGAATTGACTGCTTTTATATATCTTTTTAATATGTAAATTTTTCTGGAGAAAACTGACATGTTTATTGAATTGCCCAGTCTATGTATGCCTTTACATCTATTTCAGTCTTCTTTAAAAATTCTATAACACCCACCAGTGGGTTGCCTTAGGTAAAACTAAACATTCTAACTCACATGATTTCCACAGGGCATTCTATTTTTTTTTTTTTAATTAACACATAATGTATTATCTGTTTCAGGGGTGCAGGTCTGTGTGTCATCCGTCTTACACACTACGTAGCACTCACCATGGCACATCGCTTCCCCAGTGTCCATCACCGAGCCAGCCCATTCATCCTACGCCCCTCCCCTCCCCAGCAGCCCTCAATTTCTTTCCTGAGATTAAGAGTCTCTTATGATTTGTCTTCCTCTCTGTTTCATCTTGTCTCATCTTTCCCTCCCTTCCCCTATAACCCTCTGTCTTATTTCTCAAATTCGTCATATCAGTGAGATCATATGATACTTGTCTTTCTCTGACTTATTTCGCTCAGCGTAATTCCCTCTAGTTCCATCCATGTTATTCCACATGGCAAGATTTCATTTTTTGATGGCTGCATAATATTCCATGGTGTGTGTGTGTGTGTGTGTGTGTGTGTGTGTGTGTGTATACCGCATCTTCTTTATCCATCCATCTGTTGATGGACCTCTAGGTTCTTTCCATAGTTTGGCTATTGTGGACATTGTTGCTATAACCATTAGAGTGCACGTGCCACTTTGGATCACTACAGCTGTATCTTTGGGGTAAATACCCAGTAATGTGATTCCTAGGTCATAGGGTAGCTCTATTTTCAACTTTTTGAGGAACCTCCACAGTTTTTCAGAGTGGCTGCATCAGTTTGCATTCCCACCAACACTGTAGGAGGGTTCCCCTTTCTCCGCATCCTCGCCTCGCCAACATCTGTCATTTCCTGACTTGTTAATTTTAACCATTCTGACTGGTGTGATGTGGTATCTCATTGAAGTTTTGAAAATTTTGAAATATGTAGTTTAATTGCATTGCATTATAAATCCTTCCCAGGTTGGGGTAGGTAATAACTGCATTTTTACTTTGGAATTCAAATGCTTTTCTAAAAAAAAATATATATATACATATATATATTTATTTATTTAAGAGAGAGAGAGAGAGAGAGAGAGAGTGAGCACAAGAGGCAGAGGGAGAAGAAAAAACAGACTCCCTGCTAAATGGGGAGCCTAACACAGGGCTCGATCCCAGGACCCCAAGATCATGATCTAAGCTGAAGACAGACGCCTAACCAACTTAGCCACCCAGGTGCTCCTCAAATGCTTTTAACATAGGATTTTATTATATTAATAATTCTCTTTTTAAGAAATGACAATTTTTTTATGAACAAGGCTGAAGGAGCGCCATAAAAGGAGGGAGAGGGTGCAAACCTAGCTCAGGGGAGCTACACTGGCAAAGTTAGGACCTTCCTTGCACACCTGGAACCATCTCCTTAGATTCCGGGTTGATCTGCAGGTGACCAAGAAAGTGTTCAATTATTTTTTAATGACATTTTTTCTCATGAGCTTCTTAGGATTCCAGATCACTTTGATAAGCTGTGGAAAGCGTTGACATACACACCTGCACATAGACACACTGAATTTAGCATAAAATTTCAGGGAGCTAAGGCTCGTTGAACATACTTGAGGATCCACTTAAACCTATTTGAAGTGTTTCAAAGGTCACTATTCTTTGGCAGCCACAATGCGTTTTCACAGAGCGAACTGGTAACATTCTCTTTAAATAAAACCTCTTTAAGGAAGTTGAATTATAGCAAATGCCTGTGAATTAAGGTGTAGAGAAAACAAATGAATAGAAAATACACAAGATAAATAGGCACATGCATAAAACTCTTGTGACACACAGACACTCATGCATTAAAATGTATACAGTTAGGCCACTATTTTGTCTGCCTGTGGTAAGCTAGTCACGTGGCTGAGGGAGTGTATCAATCTCTGATTTATTTTTTTAATCTGCATTTTATTAAATAAGATGAAATAATATCTAATGTTCTCTAATTTGAATACTCCAGAAATAACATTATTCATCTTGCTGCTTTTAAAATGATAAATTAAGCATTTCTGCAGGCTTTCAGAGTCGATTTTTACCTGGGAAAATTTGATTTTTTTTGTGTGGAGCTCTCTGTAGCACATTTGACATCAAATTTCAGAAACTGCCCTTGGTGTCTACACCATCTTTGTTTCTAGAGAAGGCAGCCACGTTTCTGTTTACTATTTTTATTTAGTAGCTTTCATAGTTGGCACGAAATATTTCAAATCGCATCTAAATTTCTTGACTTACTACATTTGACACGAAACTGACATGTTGGTGACTTTACATGTTTTATTAAAAATACAGTAAGAACCTTAAGTTTCCTAAAAACAATTTATCACATGTCAAAATGTACTTCTCAAAATGTTAAACGTAATTTTGATACAAATAGGTACTGAGCATATGTCATGATTTTATGTAGTGCAACCAGCAGAGTGGCAAAACCGGTTAAAGAAAGAGAGAAACATCTGTGTCCACAGCTACATATACATTCATAGAGGTGTATGTGTTTATCTGTCTATCCATGGCTCTATCAATTCTATGCGTGTAAATATAAAATTTTGGTGCCAGACCTGAGACCAGGTTTTTCTCTCTCAATTATTTAATTTGCAGAATCCATTCATATTAAAAATTCCACATAGTCAAGGTTTCTAATAATAAAATGGATCCCTTTTGTTAAGTCCGTGCTTTTAAACCTCTGGCATACATCACCTTCACCTGAAAGATTACTGGGTTCCATTCCAGGGTTTCTATAAACTTGGGTGGCACCTGGGAATTTCTATTTCTAACAAGTACCCAACTGATGCTGCTGTCCCACGGTTCACACTTGGAGTACCACTGATCTAAGCATAGGTTTGCCGGAGGAGCAAGTGAAGCTTCGGGGAGTGTGGACAAAACCCCAAAGAAGTCCATGCAACCGCTGATTAGTTCTCTTATTGTTTGTTCCATGTTATTCCTGTTTCCTTCCCCCGTCTGCCTCCCGTACACACCGAGCTGCACTCCAGCGATGCTCCCTGTATTAGAACATCTCAAATCCCTAATATGGGTCATACTCCCCCTGCCTTCCCCACAGAGACCTAGCGTCCCTCCTCATTTGTCCTATTTCTGTCAACGATTTCCATTTCATTATAAGCCAGGGATAGAATGCTCCAAGTCTTGAGTTGTAAACAAGAATGTGCTTTTTGTTTATTTATTTTTTTAATTATCATGGACAGAGTTTCTCTTAGGGGAGATTTTTAGCTTTTGAAAGTTTGGAATTATAAACAGATAATCCCTTCTGCTTTCAATCTGCCAGTTCCCTAGTCTGTTCTTCTGTGATGTGGCCTTAATTCCACTAAGAAATTAAAGGTTCAGAGACTTCTGGAAAGGTTGGGAACTGGGAGTGGTATTCAATCAGAAAGGATGCTAGTCCTTCCAAAGGGCAGCTTTTGAAGAATGAAACATCAGAAGTCAGCCTTCTAGAGGCTGGGCCAAAATAGCTAAGGGGTGGTTGGAGGGAGGAGATACTAAAGGCATGCTTCGAGAGTTTGTCAGGGCAAGGAAGGAGAAATTAATTTTCAGAAGATGTAACAGGATCAACTGAGGGGAATTCGTTTTAGAGAGAGGGAGCCATTGAAAGCAGAAACAATGAATTTCTGGGTAGGGTAGAAGATTTCAGTAAGAATGCAGAAATAAAGATATAAATATATAGATATAAAAAGACATAAAAGCAAGAAGGAAAGGAAGGAAGGAAGGAAGGAAGGAAAAAGAAAAAAGAAGAAGAGGGTAATCCGGAGACTAGATGAAGTGGTCAGCTTTGAACAGGAAAGGCTTTTTTTTTTTTTTTTTTTTTTTTTTTTTTATCTAAGGCTGAAGGAGAGAAGATGGAGGCTGGCAGATGGCCTTGAGATCACACATGAGAGGGAGGGAGGATGTGGCATCTTAGAAGCTAGAAAGCTAGAGAATGCTAAGGCAGATGAGTGTATCACGGGTTAAGTCCATGTTGGCCAGATGATTTTGTCATCAGCCAGCCTGGCAGAACATTCTTCCTCCTTGTCCACTGCTCTGGAGTCAGGTTCAATGGATAAGGTTGGGGTAATGGTGACCTCAACATATGATGCTGATTTACTTTGCTTTCATGGAGACAAATTGCTTATATAACAGATGATATGCTAGTTAAGGGGACTTGACCATGTAGATGGATGGCCTATTGTGTTTCTTAGATGCTACGAGTCCATGTCAGCCAGTAGATGAGCCTCAACTCCTCCCCATTTTGTGTAGTGCCTTCCTTATACCTACGTAGGGAACCAAAGTGTAAATGACAGCCAGCTGCCCCTAGTTCCTCAGCTTCACAAAAGCAAAGAAATTCCCAAACCAGGTAAATGTCCCCATTTATATCATTTATGCATACTTAATAGAAGAGTTGAAAACTTCCTGGAAATTCTGCATAGGAGTTGTTTTAGAAGTTTCTATGTGAAGTAATTTGAAGCACAGCCTCTCTTTCTAGTAGAAATATGTTTTGGCCTCTCACCGGTGCTCAGTTTAGGAAGGGATGCTTGCTCGCAGAAGTAGTCAATAGAGTACACTGAGGTTAAATCCCTCCGGTCATTCAGATGGAGTCAGGAGGATGTAATATGTCTCTTTCCAGGACCACGAGACCTCCTTCCCCAGGGCACTCTCAGCTCAGAGACTCTCACCACGGTGGTGCTTTCTAGACGGTGAGTGTTTCTCTATTTCGTGGAGCGGTGGGGATTGCGGAAACAGCAGGGCAAGGCACCCATAGACGGAATGGGGTGGACCCTGGTTTTCCAAGGGATTATGTAGAAACTCCTCATGTAGCTCTGTGTGATGGTGATGTCAGTTATTTTCTGATTGGTTTATGGGTTCATTTTCCACTGCGAGCACCTCTCACTCCCTAGATGCTGCCTAATCCAGTTTTTCTACCATATTGCAAAACATCTCCTTATCTACTGCCCGGTGTATCGACTACCTGTATGTGGACATGTGGTTTTCACTGTAACCATTTCTTTGGTTGATCTGGGATGCTTCTGAGGGGACATAAATGTGGGCAAGAGGGCAACAGGATGTGTGAGTGTGGGAACAGTACTATGAAGGGGAACAATTGTATTTATATCAGATCTAACCCACGTGAATCATGACCTAGATTTTCATTAATAGCTCCTTGCCTACCTCTGAAGATAATTGACACTACTTTCCTCCAGCTCCTTTATTCCCTCGCGATGAAAAACACAATCATGTTGGTTTTTTTTCCTGAATTCCCAGGGAAACAACTTATATTTGAAAAAGTTGTAGAAATTTATATGAATTGTTCTATATATAGTCTGTTCTATATATATTCTTAGATAAAATTACAAGTGTGATATTATTATATTCTATAGATATAAAAACCTTCAAAAGGTGATCACATTTATGGTTAAAAAGAACCAAAGTAGAATAGGTCCTTCTGAGACAGACTTTATTCCCCTGTTGCTTTTAGTGAGGAGGGACTGTGATTGCCTTGTTTCTCAGCTCATTTCCTTTGGAGAGAAGCTACCCATTAAATATTTATGATTTTTGAATGATTGTTTGTATTTTGAGTTACTCCCTTTAGGACTATGTACTTTGTAGAAAATCTATTTATAATATTTGGAGTCTGTTAGGTAGATTTAAGTGAGGAGGAACATAATTCTTTCGAGTATTAAGAATAATCAAACAGTGTCTACAAACCCAAAGTTTGCAATTTTCTTCCCCAAACCACAGATGCAGCCCAGTCCCTTTTAGGAATGCTTAAATAATTATTTTTACAGTTTTGGCTTTCTTTAGACATGGCTTAGGGATTCAGTCTTGAAGTGAAATGAATCTTTCAATACCAGATGTGGTCCTTGGCTCTGTATCTTCAAGTTTTGTTTTTTTGTTTTTTGTTTTTTTTTTTCAAAATGAGAATCGCTTCCTTGGGAAGTCTAGCTATCTACGGGTTACTCCCCACCCCCAACTTTATTTACTTAATAAATACATATTGAGTCCCGGCTCTGTTTAAGGTCCTATACTAATGTCTGGAAACATAAAAGAGTAAAAGAAACACAGACCTTTAAACTGTCCCCTGGTTATTTATGAAGATAGTGTCTACAAGAAGTATAGACAAAATGCGAATATGCAAAGGTAGGAGCAATGAATTCTGTCTAGAGTAGGGAAGGATGGGATGGAAAAATGTTTCTCAGAGGAGGAAGCATTTAAGTTGGTCCTTAAGAGACGGGTGAGATTTGGTCAGGAGATATAATAGGGAAGGGCTTTCTAAGCTTGGTCATAGCTGCAGGGGACATGGAAGTTCTGGGTTTTTCTAAATTTAGAAACTGGCCAGTAGGCCGGCAGGACTAAATGTAAAGATTTTGAATGGCGTAATAGGAGAGAAAGTTGCAAATTGGGCGCCAGATCACAGGACTCTGAATGCCATATACTTTTTTTTTTCCTAGCAACTTCTGCTGATCGCTTCTACCGAATAGACAGATCTCAGGTAAGCCTTCTTGAGCCTATTTGTAAAAGTGAAAAATTGCCAAATCAATAGACTTTATTCGTAGCTAATCTTGTACATTTTTCTAGTGTAAACCCTTAAACATGTACCAATTTCAGAATGGTACTCATAGCCTAAGTTATGAGGGTTTTTATTTGTCTTCACATATCTTGTGATTTGTAGACTCAAGATTTGACCTTGGAATTGAGGCCCAGAAAATAACTAGGCCTATAGATGTTATCACCAGCCTGCACTCTAAATTTTCTTGCACACTGCCACTTTTACTACTTCCTAGCTCCGTTTTATGGCTTTTTAGGTTTATTTTGGTTAGCAAGTTTGACAGCCCAGGTGCATATTTATGCTACTTACAACTCATCACTTCCCGGAGTTCCATAATGAGAAAAAAAAATGCTTCTGCCCAATGATAATAAGTGTTCCTGCTGTCCAAATTCTCCTGCAAAAAAGAGAAAGGAGAAGAAATAATAGTACAGTATGGAACCCAGTGATAAAACCAGTTGTTAATCATGGCACTTAGCTCTGGCCGGATCCCGGGGGTCCAAGTCCAGCTTAATCGCTCAAGTCATGCTGGACCAAGCCGCGGGTGGGGAGTTCCTTCTTTGACAGTATTTGGGAAGAAGAGGCAAGCCCGTCTCTGGTTATATCTGATGAGATCCCGGTCAAGCAGGAATCCCAAACCAAGAGGGATTCACCTCTTTCCCTCACCAGCCTCTTGCTGCCAGGTCGCTTCAGGGATGGATGGCCACTGGTTGGGCCTCTGAAAACACACCGTGGTCGTTTGATATGTGGTAGACTTTCATTACCCCTCAGGACCAAGGATGCTTTTAGTCCCTGATCAGATGATAGACTTGAGAATCCTATCAGTCCTCTGACAGACTTCTTTTTCTTCCTTAGGAACATTTGCACTTTGTGATGGAGATTTCCCAAGATGAGATTTTTATTCTGGACCCAGATATGGTGTTGTCACAGCAGGCGGGGACACCTCCAGGAATGCCCGACCTGGTCGTGGAGCAGGCCTCGGGGTGAGCGAGCCCTTCTTTGGTGATCTGTGTCTGACATGGCTTTTCCCTTGACATTTCCAGGGACATCAAGCTATCTTAAAATACAGGTTTTCTTGCTGTGTTTCATTAGCGTGTAGGATAACTGGTCCCATTCTATGTTTGTTTTTTGAATGGCTGCAGAGAATTACTCTCTCCCACCAAGATTTGTACCATGTCTGAGCCTTCTTTATCCGCCACAGCCACACTTCTTACCAGACTATACAGTACTAGTGTTTGCGTTTGTGCATATGTAGCTACAATGCATGTGTTATCCAAAGGAAAATGGGCACAAGTGATTTTTGACTTTCCTTTTCCCCTCCCCCACTTCCTCCTCCCTTTTTGCTATGTCCAGGCAGCGTGAGACATAGATGGTATCATAATAACTGTGACTATCAAGCACTTATTATGAGCCACATACAATCCCAAATGCCTTTCTTATATCCCTACAACCGAATCATCAGAAGTGCTCTGGGCTTATTTCCTGCTCTGTAGAATGGAAATGAAGCTGACACAGAGAATTGTTTGAAAATTAAATAAATTGATACATGTGAGTTATTAGGATTGTTCTTGGCACTTGGTAGACACTCAGTATGATGTTATTACAGTGATCATCGTCATCACTTTCCTGTCGCAGTGCCCCTGCACCTCTGGTACCGGTATTTATTACCCTAATTCCACATGTACCAGCCCTGAGGCTCAGCGGGGTCTGAGGCTCAGCGGGGTCTTCAGCTCTGCCTGTATTGCACAGAAAATGAACGGCAGAATTGACATCTGGTCCCACCCAGGTGTTATGCTAAAACCCATGCATTTAATCACTACATTGAACCACCAGAATATTATTAGGCTTTCTAGGTTATTTCAGCAATTCCAAAATATTTATTTAGAGAACTTTTTAGGCACCAGCTACTAGTCTAAGCACTTAGGAAACAACAGGGCAGAAATTTTAAAAAACAAAAATTTCTGCCCTTGTAAAGTCTGATGAACTTTGATGTCTTACTGGTATATGAAGGTCAAATAGTTAGAATAAGGATTTCCCTGGAAAGTGCACACACACATGCACTCAAATAGCATTTGCGAATTGTATACACAGACACACACACACACGTATATGTTTGTCTATATGTATATGTAGACATGTTCACTTGAGGTAACATGCCTGTTTACTCCTCGGCACTAATTTATTTGGCCATCGCTGCCATCTCTGAATATTTCTCACTCTGCCAGCTGATTTCAGTGATATGTATCAAGTCAAGAGAAGACAGAAGTGGCAGGATGAGGCAGGTATATGGCTGCGTTGAGGAAGCCAGAGCTAGTAATCTCAGATATGTATCCCTGGGTGTCCCAGAAGGTGGTGGAAAAGCCCATCTTTACAGTCCATGTCTGCAAATCCAGCCTCTCCGCTGTGGGGAAAGCACGTGAGTTGCTGGGTCCTCCTGTAGGAGCAGCGGGCATTAGAGTCTCGCTGTCCCCTTGCCCAGCCTGAATTTGGCTGCTGTCTTTGATCTGGTAAAGAGGAAACCCGCTCTGCCACACTCGCGCTCCTCTTTGCCCTCTCTCTGTATCAACTAAAGGCCAAAAGAAATGGCTTTGTCCTGGGTTAATCCTCTCTTAGCCCTAGCTCCAAAAATGAAGTAGCCCAAAGTAGCTTGAAAATCCATTAGAACTTCAGTCAGTCCCTTTCTTATTTCTGATCAGTTGCCCCTCCTGGAAATGAACAAGGACAGGAAAGCAGTGAAAATGGATGGGCTTTGTTATTTCCTCATTTCCATTTCTATATCAGATTCCATTACTTCTTATTTACATCACATTTGAAGTTACTTAATCCTTTTTTAAAAAAGATTTTATTTACTTATTTGAGAGAGAGCATGCACATACAGAGAATGATGCCAAGAAGCCAATTCCCGATGAGCCGGGAGCCCAATGCCAGGCTTAATCCCCGGACCTTGAGATCATGACCTGAGCCCAAGGCAGATGCATAAGGGACTGAGCACCCCCAGGCGCCCCTAAAATTACTTCATCTTGAAAGGCAGTTTTCTCATCTGTAGAGGGCAGAAGCACACAAACAGTTCATGATACTTGAAAAAATTAAAGAATAAGTGTGAAGACGTAACTAGGAAATACCCAGTAAAGATTAGATGCCCATCTCACAAGAATCATCTTGAGACAGAGCAGAGGAAGTCCCGTGCTGGTTTTGAACGTCTAAATGCCTGGTGCCCTGCTTTCTCCCAGAATGTCTGACTGGTGGAACCCCGCCCTACGGAAGCGCATGCTGAGCGACAGCGGGCTGGGAACCGGAACTCCGGAGTATGACGACTCAGATTTGAGAGATTTCAGCCACTCCCGTGTGCTACAGTAAGAGCGCTCTCTGTCCCTTCCCTGTGCACCCCTGGCCCCTGCGATCCCTGGGAGAGGACTGCCCGGGTACCTCACAGGGGGGCGGGGGTCTGTATTCATTGGTGCTCCCACTGTCTCCTGTGCTCCCCCATCTTATTCCCTGGGCTCACTTTTCCCAGCCCCCGAGCTCCTAGTGGAGCCTCACTTTGCATTTGGGTATCTAGAAATACTTTGAACCTCACCAGTGTTTGCTTTACTGGAACCCGGGGTTTCCTAGCTGTCCCTGTGTTTGCCACAGGGCAAAGACACACATGAGAGAGATCATGAAGACTTTGGAAGGGACGGGTTTTTTTTCATTTGTGGAAACATTTCCGCTTGCTGTTACAATTCTGTTTCACGGGTCTCCAGTAGTAGTACAGTAAGATGGTTTTGTTCGCCGAAATGGAGCCACTTCTGGGACCCAGGGTCTCTGGGTAAATGATGCAACGTTTGTTTCTAGATGGGAATAGGGTGGGTGTGTTTTCTTCTGAGGTCTGACCGTAGTCAGAAAGGAGGGTGAATGTTGGGGTTTTTGTGACAGTGTTAAAACATTTATGTCTGGGGACTCTTTTCTCCCTGTGATATTTCCCTACAAGAGTTTATTCTAGGTGAGGTCAGTGGTCATGGATACACTCTTTCAGCCCATCTCAGAGGCTGTGCAAGTTTGTTGCAATTCATGATATAGGCTCATTTCCAATCCTATCCAAGGTCCTAATTGAATAGGGATGATGGCCTTGTTACTGTATAGTCTTACAATTTTTATAAAATAAAAGATTAAGAGTCTTAGAAATCTAGGGTTAACCAAAGAGTCCTTGTTTCTAAAGAAAGACCACAGCAATTTTGGAATGATGAGGTGGGGAAAGTGAGAAATCTGGAGCTAAATATTTCATTGGTGGGAAGGTTCATTGGTGGGAACATTTGCCAGGGGCAAAAGGCGATTTCGTTTAATTGTTTCTCTGTACTATCTCTTATTTTGTTGTGTGAAGAGTAGAAAGGAAAAAGTTAATTACTGTCGATTTTCCTTTTCAATCAAACCAAGTTAGATCTTGATCACATTTTGATTGCTTACAACTCAGGGTATTTTTCCATTTCTTTTTTTATATAGAATTGATGCTTGTGAACCACGATGAGTCAGCCACCCCACTGATGGCTAAAAATGTGACCATCTAGCTGCGGGCAGATTTATTTGATAATTAGAGTTTAGACACAGACATAGAAATTATGCCTAGACAAACCAGATGAGTATTGTAGTTGTTCTTACACACAAGCTATTTCCAAAGAGAGTGATCTCACTCTGGTTTCCTGTTCCCTGGTTTTCTACGTGGAGTATATTAAAGTGTATATCATGATATATGAAGTGACTGTTTCCAAGGTAGGAAATATTCTTCCCAAATCACAAATAAACATACTACTTTCTGTAATAGCCAGGTTCTTGAAACTCTCTGTAAATATCAACTCTTATTTTTCATTCGGGTTATATTATCCTTTCAGAGATTTCTCTTAATTTTTTATTGATCTTTACTTGCAGCCATCAGTTGTCTTGCTCATTTATACCACCTTAGCTCTTACGTGCACTAGAGCGAATAACTTTTTAAATTTTATTCCTGCCAAGTAACACTCAAATGCTCATCCCTACCCTTTAAGTCTGTCTAGCTGAATCCCTGCACATCGTAGAATAGAGACAAGTCATTCCCCCAGGGTCTGCCTGAGTCCCTGACTCATGGAATACAGGAGCATAATAAAACAGTTGTTTTAAATCACTGAAAATAAGTAAGTACTATACCTTACCCCAATTTGTCCATTAATTCTTTAATTTTTTTTATTATTATTGCTGTATCCATTGATTCCTTCGAAAGAACATCTCTTTATTTCCTTCAGAGATCACCTCTGATGCAAAGAGGTATCATTGCAGTTATGGAATAATTTAATCATGTAACACACAGATATTACATACCATGTTAGTAATAATTCGTATTGACAGAATATCTCCTACTTGCTTTGTGCCAGAGCTCAATCGTCTTTAATTCTTCTAATGACTTTTAAATCTTGCCATTGCTTAACAGATGAGCAAACTGAGGCTTACTCAGTTTAACTTTTAAACTTACTGAGCTTAAAATATTCATCGTGGATGACACAAGACCGCAAGAGTGGGAACTGTGGTTGGCTTGACTTTTGACTTCATGCTTTTTCTGACCATATGCACGATCTTCCTGAAGAGCTGGTGCAAAGGCAGGATGCCCACAGCCCTGTGGCCCAAGGAAGGTTTATATTGGCTTCTATTTCTTTTAGCATTTGTAAAGTGTCTGAGGAATCGTTAAAAAGAGATTGAAATTTTTTTAAAAGATAGACATTTATTTTTAAAAATTACTAAGTATATATTAAATTTGCCCCAATCAAAATAAGTACAAAAATTATTTGGAAGGTCATTTGTTTTGTTTCTTAAATTACACATATGAGCAAGGGGGTGGGGGAAGAGGGAAGTAGTATAGAGTTCCCTGAAAAAGTTAAAAAGCAGAGATATCCTATGACCCAGCCATTGCCCTACTCAGTATTTATCCAAAGGATACAAACATAGTGATTCAGAGGAGCACATGCACCCCAGTATGTACAGCAGCAGTGTCCACAATGACCAAAATATGGAAAGAGCCCAGATGTCTATTGACAGATGAATGGATAAAGAAGATGTGGTGTATATATACATATACAAAGGAATAGTACTCAACCATCAAAAAGAAGGAAATCCTTCCCTTTGCAACAATGTGAATGGAACTAGAGGATATTATGCTAAGCAGAATGAGTCAGAGGAAGACAAACACCGTATGATTTCACTCATATGTGGAATTTAAGAAACAAAACAGATGCACATAGGGGAAGGGAAGGAAAAATAAGAGGAAAACAGGGAGACAAACCATAAGAGACTCTTAACTGTAGGGAACAAACTGAGGGTTGCTGGAGGGGAGGTGGGTGGGGGATGGGGTAACTGGGTGATGGGCATTAAGGAGGACACGTGATGTAATGAGCACTGGGTATTATTTGCTACCAATGAATCACTGAATTCTACTTCTGAAACTAATAATACCCTATATGTTAGTTAAATTGAACTTAAGTTTAAAAAAATTTTTAAAAGAGGCAAACACCAAGAAACAGACTTCCTAACTATAGAGAACAAACCGATGGCTACCAGAAGGGAGGTGGGTGGAAGGGTGGGTGAGACAGGTGTTGGGGATGAAGGAGGGCACTTGTGATGGGCACCTGGTGTTTATGGACGTGTTGCATCCCTATGTCGTACATCTGAAGTTAATTTTACATGTATGGTAACTAAGTGGACTGTAAATGAAAACTAAAAAATTTAACGAAGGGCACTCATGTGCCCAGCACCCTGATATATTATGTTGTTCTATGTTATTATTCTCATTAGGTCTTTCTTTCCGTCCATAAACAACATATAGTAACATACAAATATATATTGTTTTATGGACTTTTTGTTTGTATTCTCTATTTTTCATTACCTGTATTGAATAATGTATACACTTTTCAGACTTGCCATTTCATTCAATGGTCATATTTTTTAAATGTATTCATATTGATATATGTAGTTTTGTTTTTTTTATAAAGATTTTATTTATTTATTTGACAGACAGAGAGATCACAAGTAGGCAGAGAGAGAGGAGGAAGCAGGCTCCCCGCTGAGCAGAGAGCCCGATGCGGGGCTTGATCCCAGGACCCTGGGATCATTGCCTGAGCCGAAGGCAGAGGCTTTAACCCACTGAGCCACCCAGGCGCCCGATATATGTAGTTTTTAATTAACTCTAATTGGTATAGAATATTGCATCATTAATACTCCATAACTTATTTCACCATTTTGATAGTGATTTCTAATATTTTATGATTTAAAAAATTCAGGGAATCCTCTGCTGCGTGGGTCCTGTGCTGCAGGGTGTATGTGAACTTTCAACTTTGCTTAATATTCTCAGCAGGAATATGAAAAATAAGTGTGGAAAAAAAGGCCTGAAGAATTATGGTAACATTTTAGGTAGAACCAGCATCTGCTGCTTTTAGCTTTAAAGCCCCAGTCAGCTTGGAGGTAGGGAAAGTCCAAGTTTAACATCATGTTCATCATATTAAATAACCCACTATATAAAAAGATCAAAAGGGAAATTTTAAATTCTTGAACCGAAAATAACTATCAGAGTCTGCAGAAAACCACTAAAGTCTTACTCACAGGATGATTTATGACTCTAAATTCACTTATCAAAGGAAAAAGGATTCATAAAAATAAAGCATTCAGTTTGATAAACCGGAAAAGGAATTTCAGAGTAGGAAACAAAGAAACAAGAGGGAAGAGGAATAACAAAGACAGAAATCACGGACAAGGTGAATAAAACAAAGAAATGATTAACTGAGACCGGAATGTTAAAATATTGATTCTTTAATAAATAGGTAAGAGACAAAATCCTGCAAAAACTGACTTTAAAAATAGTAGATACAGGAAACAGAAAGGAATGTAACTGCAGTGCTTTACTGTCTCATTCTTCCTCCACTGGCCCTGGCCTGCACCTGCTCAAGGTGACCCTTTTCCCTCAAACTCCAAATGACCCCCTCCAGGGGGTCTCCTCAGAGTTGTCTCCTCCTTTTAACTTTTATTTCTAAGATCCATTACCCTCTCTTCTGCTTCAGGGAGAGTGAGGTGGAATGAACAAATAGAATTAGATTTCTGTTATTACTGGAACTGGTTACCTTTTGTAACTCCATTTAGAAACACTATAATTTTATGAAGAAGGTATAGATAGTCCAATTATACACAGGTCCTCTAGGAAAGAGCATCATTCCAAAGAAGGATGTACAACACATGTAGGGTCTTCAAAACCTGTGAACACAATAAAAAACAATCTTGAAAAACCACTTTTGAGATAAATTGATGAGAGGTAGTTGACTAATATTGCTACTGCTAGAGCCATAATGAATTTGTCCTTAGGTGC